TTATTAACGTCACTGTCATATAAATAATAAATAAATAAACAAGACACTTTTCCACATTGGAACTTTAAACTGAATTAGAAAGATGAATCAAACTGAGAGACATCACCCTCTTCTGGGAGGACCGAAAAGTTTTTGTCTTCATTTTAATACGATCAATCACCTATTTAAGTCGAGCTGCTGGGATATTTTCTCGGTAATCAGAGACATTAAGAGTTTTTGGTTTACAGTAGGGAAGGGTGTTTTCCCCTACGACGTTTCGTTCGTGGTGTTAGACGAAATGAACCCCGTTTTCGCGATATCATGTGGGGAGCGGCGGCAGCTTTCGTCGCGACGGAAACAGGGCGTACGGTTGCTCCTTTGATTAATGCTTTCTCGGGGATGAAGCGACAGGGGTTAGGGGAAACAGTGCTGCTAGTGGTGGTGTACTCAGCTACGACTAATCCTCTCTCGGTGCGCGAGTGTGTAGATATATACGAGAGCTTGACGTTGGTCCTAAGAACCCGAGCGTGGACACGAGCGAGAACTCATTTCCGGATGCGACAATCTCCCTCTCTGTCTCTCCCCTCGTCTTCGTCGCTCTCGTGAATTACACACGACCGGACGCGACGTCGCGTTCTCGGTCAGGCCACTCGGCACCCGGGACACGCGTCGGCGACAGCGGCGGATTTCTCAATAAGTACACGAGACACGCGTTTTAAGCCCCGCGGTTCTGAGGATTTCAAAGGAAAAACAAATTATTGAGAAAACAAGTAGAAGATAAAATTAATCACTAGAAAAGATGTTATAAGAGAAGTAAAAAAAAAAGAAACAAAAAAAAAACAAAAAATTAGCGTTTTCACTACAAATATTCTACACCAAACTAGTTTCTATAAAACTAAGTTTCAATAAAACTTTGTGGATAAGTACGTTTCTTCTTATTATAATTACAAATGTGAGAAGCATGAATAAAATTTCCTGGATTCATTACAACGAAGCGACGAAGAAAAAGTAAATGACATTGTAAAATCGCCTTTCATCTGCCGTGGCTTCCGTGCGGCTGCGAGGAAATGCAGTTGATGACCGGAGTCTGGCAGGCGCTTCAACTTCAAACAAACTTCCGGCACTCTTGGGGCCGAAGGGATTGTCCGTGTAAACGACGCGTTGTTAGTGCGTCGAGAAAGAAGGAAGGATAATGCGGGAGTGCGGTTGAAAAAGGGACGAAACGGGGAAAACTGGTGGGAAGACGGCTTCTTGCTTTCCACCAGCTTCCCACCGGCGACAATTGGCCGCGACAACTACACGCTTCTTCGAGTCAGAAGTAATTTTGCTGAAGTCCGAAGTCATCAGAACACGGCGAATGACCACCGGAAAATACGTTTCTCTCGTATATAGTCACGAGCAGATAAATAAATAAATAAAATATTTTGTGGTGGTGTCACATATTCTTTCTTTGCTATCGTAATTTTTTCAATACTAATTTATTAAATATAAAGCGATTTATTACGGTGGTACAATTTATTAGATATCGTTTTTCTTAATTTTCAATATAGAGTTTGAATATTATGAGCACTTTAATTCTTCTATTATATTTTATTTTGTGAAAATTTTCCTTAGTTCACAAATATTTCACACAAAAATCGTATAAAAAGAATTACGTAATTCTCGAGAAAAATCTAGAGAAAAAGTAATAACGCACGGAGTTAGATATCATTAAACTGTTCAACTTTTTCTTCCGCCACTTTTTCCTGTCATCAACCACGAAAGATATGTATAACCCCCGTCCGCGTGGGAGAAATGTGTGACTCATCGTAATAATAAATAGCCCTCATAATTCTCGACGTGATTTCGTGATATCTATTAAATATGTAATTGATGCAAATCTGCGAGTGCAAACGCGCGCGAGAAAAGAAAAAGGGAAAGTATCGGAGACGAGTAACCAGCCGATGTGGGAAAACGGCTTTAATCAGCGCGAAAGAAGTGTTGAAAGAAGAAGCCCCTGAAAAAAGACGAGGGTTAAGATAAAGGGAGATAAAGAGAGGGTGAAGCGAGAGACGCACGGAAGGCAAGGGAGCAGCTGAGAAAAATAATCCAATTTAGTCGCTGCGCGCACAGCGACCCGGCTAACTGTTCGCCTGTTTTCACGGTTTTTAATTATACGCTTTCCTCCTTCTCCTCCTCCTCCTCTTCTTTCTCTCTTTCTCCCTTTTTGTTTCTCATTCGTTTGTGTTCACGTTTCTCGTAAGAAGGTTCTCGCGCACTTTGTTGCCGCGATTCTAAACAAAGAAACACTTTCGTGTAACTTCACTCTTCAGATGAACGGTAAGCAAAACAGACGACTTCGCGTCCAACTTCGTAAGAGTCTCCGCAGGTCTACGATTCTTGATCACCGTAAGAGACCAGGTCGGGGCCAGGTCAGGTGCTTTTTTTCCGCCCTTGCGGTGAACGAGGGTAATCCAATTTTCACGGAAACTTCCGCGACGCATGATTGCATTTGGTTCGCGCGCACGTCGAAACGCTCGCCGAGGAGAAGTCGAGATGGATGGCACGCGAGACTATCTAGAACGCTTTCCATCCCTCTCCCTCTTTTCTCCTAGTTTTTTTTTTTTTTTTTTTTTCACTGACTTTTTTCTAAAGGTAGATTCGACCTGTTACGTAGAAGTTAGCATCAATGCCGCTATCCTTTTCCGCGCGGCTCAAACTCGGTTCTAACTCGGCCCTTTTATTGCTCTTGCGCTTACTTTCCGCGCCGATATATAACGCGCGCCCTCTTTATTCCATCCCCGTTCTCTCGGTCGCGCGGCCGTTTTATCGGCTTTCAACGTCGCTGCAATTAGCATTTTAATTCTCGGCCGACGCGCGCCGTCCGTCGTAACGCGCTTACTTTTCCCCGCCGCGACGGGCACTCGCCGGAGTTAAGTGTGCACTGACCAACGAGCAATATTCAATGCAACAGCACGCATCTGTTATCGATGCGTTAAATCGCCTTTTCTCATCTCCTCTCTCCGATTTCTCATTTCAATAGGGGAAAAAAACGCTCGATCTTTGTAAAGATGTATAACAGAGAGAGTTTCTTTCACAATTTATATCTTTATCTGTATGAATAAAAGACCGACTCCTGACTCTAACAAGACGAACCTTTCACACCCTTTGCGATTTTGCCGATCTTTTGCGTAAATGTAATATTGGTATAGAAATAACAGATGCTATTCTCGGAGACGATGCGCTTCTCAATCGTTGACAAGAAAGGACGCGGATTTTAGCGCGCTGCTTTAGTATCGTCGCAGTGAGACGCCATGTCAATTAGGCATCGTGTTAGATATGGACGTAGAAATATATGGACATGCAGCATCAGCTGCGTACGAGGACAAAGGAAATGATGATAACAGATGAGGTCAGCATGTGTTGACTTTAGGTAAATATCTCGGTTGCTTTTTTATAATTTTTTTTAAGTTATGTTGACAAAGTTCAGAACATTGATTTGAAGCTTTCAGTTTCTTACAATATCAAAAGGAAACACTAAAATCAATATCTGTTAGATATCCGCTATACTTCGATTAAGTAGGGGATAACTTTATCCTCCAGATACAAGTTTTACAGAAGTGAAGAAATCGATTCCTTAGAGATATCTTTTGAATAAAGTTATCGACAACTTATTTAGAGGTGAAGAAATTGGGCATTAGTCAAAAACCACACATTCATTGTAGTATTATAAATACATTTGTAACCTCCACGTAGTACCGAACACTTCCGAGCGCTCGCGAAAGTAGCCGAAATCAGTACACCCCTCTGTCTATTTATACCTTCCTCCATTCATATATTTCCTTCGTCATCATGGCGCCAGAAGCTAGGAGGTTGCACGTCCACGTCCTACTTTCCTTATAACTATTTTCTCTTTTTTTCGTACAGTTCTTTTATTGTTAAAAACTTTAATAGCAATTAAAGAAGCAGGATCGACGTGCATTAAGCATTCTTCATAAATCTCACTTTTTTGCAGACATAGTTTTGTTTTAATAATGATACAAGAAAACACATTTCATAACAATCTCATCTTTTATCATTTTTTGATCTCCCAAAATGCTAATAATTTCCTCACAAATTATCTCTTCGATAACCACAGAATTTACTTACTGTACTAGAATATGTATCTATGGCAAAATCCTGCAGCAAATAATTACAGTGGTCAAGGTCATCTGTTAATTCGATCTTACAATCTTCGTTTTTCGATTGCTCACACCCGTATTGTTCCTCTAATTTTTCTTTTGTCGTAGGCAGACCCAATAGATTCCCCATTTTGAAAATCGTTGGCACACAATCTACGCACAATCGAAAGTAACGGACAAGCGTCCTCGACGAAAGTCTACGATCGACTAGTGTCTCCCTCGCATCAAAACGTTCTAATACCAAGGGTCCGCCCCTCCAGAAAAGACTCGATATACAGACAAAGAGGATTGGTCTGAAGAGACGCGGTCGACACAAAGAAATAAAACGTGAAGTTCTAGAAGAAAGAACGGCAGCTAACACACTATAAATTTCAACGGCAATACGAACGCACATAAGACATTATTATAATCAGATATAAATTTTACAACATGATCGCATTTATTGTAATAAATTTTTTAACATAAATAATATACAAGGTGTCTGAAAATATAGAACTATATAGAAAGAAAGAAAACAAAGAGTAAAAAAGTTTTAAAAAGAATAGAGCGCGAACGCGCAACCTCCTAACTTCTAATCCGCTGCGCCACGCTGACACTCGACGGACGTCTTTGCAACGATATTAAAGAAGCTAAATTGTGATAAGAATCAAACCGCAATGTTAACGATTGAAAAGTGCATCGTCTCCGAATAGCATTTTCGAAAAACTTGCAATTAATTAGATATGTGTTGCTCTTAGAAATACATATCTCAAATCTGATCGAAACGAATTCCGGATCGAATCTGCCGATCGATCTGCGCGCGTCGCGCGAGACAACCGCAGAACGGACAGTTCTCAGCGTTATGGTATAATGGGTACTCACGTGTCCTAGCTTCTCCTCCTTCCGTCTCTTGGGGTCACTCTCGAGGTCGGGCGTGCGGCTGCGAAATTTCTCAGGTGGCGAGACCGAACGATGGCCGAGCCTCTCATCCGGCAGCGCGATCGGCTTACGATCTTCAGGCGTCTCCGCGGCCGCGCGATGCTGCTGCAGATCGGCGGGTTTTAGCAGCGCTTGCGCCTGTGCCTGGACCGCAGCTGCGGCCGCGGGATGCGGCGGCGGCGCCAAGTGCGGTGGCACACCCGCGGCTGCGGCCGCCGCGGCCGCACCTGCGAAGCCCAGAAGACCGCCCGGCGGAAGACCACCGACCACCGCGCCATGGGGCAGCTGCTGCGCATGGATCTGTTGCTGCGACGTCAAAATAAAAAGTGCTCATAATATGCACACAGGAGATTCCTCTTCTCTTCCACTTTGTATTTTTTCATCAAATTTCTACGAAGCAATATTTAACATTTTTTAAATAAAAAAAATCTCTGAATAAAGGAAACGAATATTTATTTTGAGAATAAAGTATATGTATATATTGTAAATTATATTTATATTTATTTCGCGAATGTTATCCATTATGAAACTATAAAATTGCAAAACAATCACGCAGAGTTCCAAATTGTAATTTGATAAATAACGAGATTTTATGAAAATAGACATTTATATTGCACACTTACCAAAAGCTGCTGAAGACCTTGCTGCTGTTGCTGCTGCAAAAATCAGAGAGATGCATCATTCAAATAGCAATTATCTAATCATAAGATTAAGTCGGTTCGCGAATTATGCTAGGAATTTTCTTTCAAGGCGCGCTCTACGATTTTCTTCGTTAAAGTCGATGACGTGGGAAGTTAATTTCAAGAGAACGCGAGCTACTTACCCCGATAATGGCATTCAGTTCGGACATGGTGACTTGCTTCGCCCTCTCCACGGCGTTGGCCACCTGCTGCTGATGCTGCAATGCCACGCTATCATTATCGCGTCGTCGTCACACTCGATTGTGAGATCGCACGGCACACGTGCCAAACAGAGAGTCAAAGACTTACCTCTTGCGCCAGGAACGGAAGCACTTGCGCGATTATTGCGTTTAACCTCTTGGCGATTTCTGTCTGCGAACACATAACGAACGATCGTTAGATAATAAACGCGAATCTCACACGAGTCTGCGCAAATTATGTCTAATTATGTCTACAAACAACAGCTGATTAAATTCTAGCTAGCTTTAATAAAAGATTACGTTTCCGACATTTACTGCCACTACTGAAAATCTATCACTCACGTCACATGACAACCATAGTTTTCAGTAATCTAATTATATTCACTTGTACATCTTCATGTGTGTGAGTGAGAAGTATATATTGAATATATAACATAGTATCGTATTATAAACTAATGCAAGTGCATCGATTAATGATAAATCATGTTTCTCGCCTGAGAATGTTACAATATTAGGGTTTTGCATAATATAAAACTCAGCACGATTTAAGTATTTTCTATATATATATATCTGATATCAATCAGACACGCAATTTATATAATCCTATCAATCTGCTTTAGTATTTGGAATACTTATTACCTGATATTTGACATTTTATGTTACAAAAATAAACAACACGCTATATATTTCCGAAGTATAATTTTGTTTTTGTGACAGACACATGTATCCTTATTATTTAGATAATAGATATGACACGAATTCGTTTTTACGTAGTTTCTGTATGAATTCGTGCTTTTATTACAGATTCTATTTTCATTTCCGAAAATTACGGAACAACTCTCGCGTCGCTCACCGAAGTGACCGGTCCATTTGTAAATTGCGCAAGTAACACCGGAAATTTATTCGGGACTTAATATCATGCGTGTAGTAGGTTTAACATCGCGCGCGGTTATATGCTTTAAATAATTCGCGTGGATTAATTGAGAAATCGAGGCCGGGGCTGTGCAATACAATCGAGGGGTTGAATTCAAATTGGTGTAAGTGTGTGAGTGTGTATAAACGCGTGTGCAGGACGCGTGTCACAGTGTTCGAGGTTACGTCGTAATCACGTATCGCGCGGCGACTGCTCGGCGAACATACGTGCGCGGCTCAACCCACCCTTGTGTAACAGGGTGGCTACTCATTAATGTGTGTCGATCGAATCGAATCGATTCGCGATTAAGCTCACGACCGCCACGTGACTTTCGGATGTTCACAGCATGATAGACACATTTGTATGCCGTCGTCACACACTTATTCTCTTTATAGATTTCAAATCAATTTTTTCTTTTTAGAAACAAATGTTTGAAAATCTTCAAAAAGTCGTATTTTTATATTTTTCTATACGTTTATAAGTTTTTTGTTTTAAATATTTGTATAATGTAAAAGTAAACAATTAATATGTAAATGTACGCAATTGACTGAATTGTTTCACTCTTTGAGACGACGACTTGTGAGGGTGAATTGGCGAGATATATCGCACATAATTATTAAGAAGCGAGTTCGCAAAAACGACGACGCGCCGATATCGCCTCGGCGATATTTTCACGTCAGGCGAATCGGGCGCGTAGATCTAAAAGTTGAGAGACCGAAAAAAATGTCATCGCTCCCACGGGAAACAGAAAGATGGAAAACTGCCGCGTCCACGTCAGTTCGATTTCGCCCTGTTCGACAGTAGGTGGCGAAGAGGGTGGACGGGAGAGGACCGTGGGGATGAGCGCAGAAGAAGGGTGAGCGACGAAAAAAGGTTCGACTAAAAAATGGAGAAAGAGAGAGAGGTTGCGGGAGGAGGATGGTGTTCGCGGGCGGATGGTTGGAGGCGGCGGTCGGGAGACGAGGAGAATTTGCAGGACGCGGGCGACGCGGAGCGAGTGTTGTCCGGCACGAAAAAATGGTTATTCCTTCTCGAATGTGCCCGATGCACATGCACGTTTTCCCGCAAAACGGATGGCCGGAGTGCGGGGATGTACGGACGGGGGGAACGGGGTGGCGGGAGACAGAACGAAGTGAGTTGACGAGGAGGACGAAGAGGGGGATGGAGATGACCGAACGGGAGGTGGAGGAGGAGGAGGAAGTGGTGGATGTGGAGGCAGAAGAGGACGAGGAGGTGGAGGTAACATTGAGATTAGCAACGGGTAAAAAATCGATGTCATCGCCCCCAGCCTCTCGCCGCTCTCGCTCGACTCAACCCTCTGCTACCTCCACAGGGCAAAATAAAAGAATCCGAATACACGACCCCTAGGAAGGGTGTATGCGCGCGCGCGTGTGGCGTAGGTGTCCGTGCGAGCAAGCGCAAGCGAGTGCAGGCGCGAGTGTGTACACGTGCGATATCTTTTTCCCTCTTTCAGTTGCTCGTTCACTCGCTCGCACGCACGCTGACACGTGTGTACGGACGAGAGAGCGCTGGAAAAGCGACCCCCGACCGCCGAAAGAGAGCACGTGGGAGACGAAGCGAGAGGGGTCGCGTACCGAAAAAAAAGAGAGACGGAGCGAGAAAAAAAGATGAAAGAGAAAAAGAGAGAGAAAGAGAGAGAGAGAGAGAGAGAGAGCAGAAGACAGAGCGCTCGGATAGATAGACGTATATATGCATGAAGGCAGGAAGAACTGGAAAGGCAGGGTGAGTTATATGCAATTGGTCAGCCTGCACATTTTTTATCGGGCGCCGGGCGTACCCGCGATGGGAAATGGTAGTTACTCTCGTATCGACGAACAACGCTAGCAACAACGCACCGCGGCAATATTCTTCCAAAGAGAAACGCACTTTTTCGGAAGAACGACGCCAACAACTCGAAATTACCGCCCGGAAGATTTCTGATTTAGAGACGACAACTCGTAAAAATCATTCGCTATTTATGATACACATAACTGGTTTTCTTCCGGAATAAAACAAAAAGTTATCGACAATCGGTTTTTTATGCAAGAATGTTTTTGTCTTGCGCGAGGCAAAAATTGCTCATAAATTCAATAATTATAAGGTAACCAAGTACCACTGATACATAAATTAATCAAAATTAAAAAAATTTTTTTTTAATACACTGCGAATCAGAAATCTTACCTTGCACGACGAGATATCTCGTCATGCGCAATGTGTTAACATAATATGCGTATCATCGTCATATTTGTTTAGCATCAAAATGTAATATTCACTAAAAACATTAAAATATCAACGAATATCAAACGGCGGAATTTTCGTTCGTTCCTTTGGTATTTTTTTTCGATCGTTTCCGATTTTCGCGTGACTTTTCAGGATTCGTAATGACCCGGTTTCGTGATCGCGTGCGCGTAATGGCATCCGCGACATATTGCCGCGGATCGCGGCTTAATCGAGCGGGACAACGACCAGGCCGTCGCGACAAAGAACAACCCTTTCAATTAAGCGATAAGCGCTATCGGACAAGATACGCCCGCTCCGCCGAACGTATGCACGCACGTATGTACGATCGGATGGATGAACGGGGCGAGAAACATAACGCGCGACCAGTCGTGTCGCGATGTGTTTTTAGCGTTCCCCGTCGCTTTCGCCGTCAATCCTGATGCGCTCAGTTTACACCCCGCGCTCTTTTATCTTTCCGCCCCGTCCGCGCGCACCTTTCTTTCCCGCGTAATCGCGCGCTTGCTTTTTGCAAGCCGTCCATTTTTCTCGATCACGCAGCGTAGACTGCAAATCTCATTTCCCGCGAAGATCGCGCGATGAAATCTGACGGGGCTCGAGCGAATCCAATAGAAGCGGAATAGATTGATAAAAACGTTTCATTGCCGATATTATCGTACGATATCGCATTAATCCGGGGATAAAAAGCGGTGAAATTTTAACGAGTCTTTCTGACTTCTTTCGTTACGTTGCATGAAAAAATATCGAACACGATATCGATGTCAAAGGATCGCGGCAGTTTTCAGAAATTTCTCGCTCCTTTGTGTAAAGTCGAAAATCCCGGCGTGTAATCAGTCGTATGGTCTGTAGAGCGCGCGCAATTAAATCGAACGAGCGAGCCAATGTTCGCGAGCGAGAGGTGATCGAGGGAGAAAACTCAAGACTGCTCCCGCCGTAGGAGAAGAGGAGGTGGATGAAGCGAGAGAAGTAATCGTACCTACAAGAACTGGGACATTGCCAACAAATTCGAGTTAGTCGAGTAGAGAGTGGTAAAGTGGTGGCTGCGGACTTTGCAGTGGGGTGGGTGAGAGGCAAATGTCGACTTCGAGCTGTGGCGGGAGATACGAGGGTCGCAGATGCGAGGGATGGCTAGCGTTCTGGGGGAGCGGGATGGTTACAGAGCGAAGAAGAACACAACGGGAGATGTGCAACGGGAGATCGAGGGGAAGAGGGGAGAACGAGTGAAACGGGGGCAGAGAACTGAGCGAGAAGCGGAAGAGCGAATGAAAAGGGTGAAAGACGAAAGGAGTGGTGAAACGAGGGAAAGAGACGAGACGCAGATACACAGAAGGTTCTAACCTCGTAGGGGAAGATTGTTTTCATTCGGGGGCTCAAATTGAAAAGGAGAGCGAGAAAACCGCGATTCGAAAGCCGGCTAAGTGGCGGAGACCGGCTGAAGGGAAGCTTGATTTATTTATTTTTTTTTTTTTTTTGCCGACCGAGGGGAGAGAAAGAGCTTTGACGCGCGGAATCTCGAGACGAAAGTTATAAATACATTTTTGGGGCGTCCATTAAGTCACTGACAGTAGATGAAAGAGAAGATCGGTGAGCAATAAAGCGTAATCCCGTAATTGCATGTCGAAAAAAAAAAAAAATCAGATCCCTCTTTCTAACCCTCATTGATATGACGGAGTTTTTGGATAACATAAAACTTTTCTTTTAACTCGTCGTCGATCGAAAGCATACGCATATAAAGTAAATGCCTTGTTGAAAAATAAGGACTTCCGGATCTTTTTTTAATATTTACGCGAAAAAGAAAGAAATATATTTTTGTTTAATAAAAGATTTATTTATCTACTCTTCTCAAGCTATCTTTCTCTGTTTTTTTTTCTCTCTCTCATTGTAATCCTTGTCTCTAATTGAATTCGAGATGTCACGCGTACATTTCCGTTTCCCGTCGTTAATAAATCAAGTTCAACGACCTTGTTTGCCCGTTAATCTTAAAATATAATCTTTCGCGGTTCACGTCGCGAAATCTCCGATTAAAATAGAGCTGCGCATTTTTAAGAGACATCCCGATTTCTCCCGATTATTCGCCGGAAACAATGCCGCGGTGATCTCAGCGCCGTGTGCTACGCCCTATAACTACCCGAGAGAAGGTAAAATATCTCTTTCTCTCTCTCTCTCTCTCTCTTTCTCTCTCTCGCCCCGACCCCTCGGCCCATTAACCGCCGCCTCGAGGTACGAGGGTGAGAAATGATCGGCCGCTAATGCTAATGAATATCAGCTCGTTGTACCGGCGCGGCAGGGTGGGTTGTTTGTGGAGGTCGGGAGCCCCACTTTTGAGTATGGCCGCGCGACGACGAGGGACCACCAACCCCGTGGCTCGCTTTTAAGAAAATTGCTGACAGAGGGGACCGCCCCGCCGCTGTTTCCCCTGATTAGCCGAAATTACACGATTTCCCAGCCTAAACGCGTCCTGCACCCCTCATTTGCGGCCGCGGCCGATTCCAACGATCCACCTCGACACACTCGCCGGGCTCAATTAACAAAGAGATCCTTAACGCTTTTGTTGAATGTGATCTTGATTAACTTCGCGCGCGAGGCAAGTTTAAACATTACGCTTCCCTGTGATTCTGCGATTTAAACAACAGTCAAATTTTGACAAATGCCGTTCTATTCTAACGATATCTCGAAGTACTGTATTTCAGGTTACGTAATATTCTAGTCTATTGATTTTACTCTTATTAAAAAAAAAAAAATTAATATTAACGTAATACACTTACCTGCTTGTGCATTTCGACGTTAAGGCCGTAAGACATCTCGTAATACTGCAAAACAAAAAAAATAATTTTCAGAGAGTTGAAAATTGACTGTTTTATCTATCTCTCTTTTAAATATAAAATATTATTTATACAAATAAAATATATATTAAACAGACATATAGTTGTGAATTTTGAGATAAATGTGTCGATATATTTTTGCGTTTCCAAATACACATCTATAAAAACGTACGCGAATGATCGTAAAATGATCAGCTGCCGTTTTGAGTATCAACCGTTCGTTCGGAAGCGCATTACTCGCAAGTAGGCTTTAGAAGTTACATTCTAGAATTCGAATTTAAATAAAATTTTATTTGCAATTTTATTACACACATACACGTACATCTGTCGTGACACACATTTTTCTCTTTTCTCTGTTGAAATTGAATATCACAACTTTGGAATCATATTTTTTTTAGTCGAACTCGAAATAGTTCATCGCGAAATGTGGGATGCCCGAGACGTCTCGAATCGCTCGTAACGACGGCTCGGATCGGCGGAGATGGCGATCTTCTCGCAGTGTCCACATTCTCGTGGGCGGATATCTGCGGACAAGGGTGAGACCGAGGAGGAGAACCATAGCAGTCGTTCCAGTTAGCGCGCACATACATACGACTCGCAATAAACTATCCGAGCGTGCGATGCACTTCGATAGATACGCTTGCGCGATCGTAAATCGGTTAGTGGCTGTCGCTCGGCGCCGTGCGTGTCCGCCTTTGAACGCTCTCGTTCGGAGACGAACGGTTTCAGGGGAAGCGATTTACTGAAAGAGAGGGGAGAGAGAAAGAGAGGAGGTGATACATATGTCAGACTACAGATACTCGGCTCAGAGATCGATAGCATCGGTCGCGGAAATATACCGCGACTTAATAATGCAATCGATAACTACGACCGGCGAACTTGGCGCAAGGCTCGCGCGAAGCCTTTCTTCCTTGAGAAGCGATTTCGATGCGCTTCAGATCTACGTTTGCGCGATACTGACACGATTTAGCGATCGTATCGCACAACAAACACGACTTGATAAAATTTGTTTCTTTCGAGCTTTCACCGAGGTCCTCGAAAAATTGCGTGTGACCGCTGCCATGACGCTTGAGTACTACGTGACTTATGTTGCATTTATGTTACAACATAGCACGTATTTACAGACAAATCGAATTTTGAAATTATTTTACCGTATTTTATTTAGAAATACAGAGAAATAAAGGGAAAGAGATTGGATTATCTCGATATAAAATAAATATTTATAATTGCAACATTTGATGGCGCGATTAAAAATAAATACGTAAGGATGTACGCGACGCACATGTGTTTTCGATCAATATATTTCATCGAAGCAAGCAAATATCATAAATGTTGCACAAATTTTTTTATTTTATAAATTACACCTGTAATACAATTTTCACAGTTGTTTTGTTGTACTTACGTGTGCAATTATTGTGCAATTAAGTGACAATAATTATTAACCGAACATTTTCCAATCGATTCAATTAAAGTACGGGGGCAATGTGTCAGGGTTTGTTCGTGTGAAGAACGTCTTTCCGCGCGCGCTATGAAGTTCGACTTGAAGAACTGCCGGAGGAAAGATATCGGGACGCGTAAGTCGGTAATCAAATAACGAGAAAAAAAACTCACTCACTCTCTATCTTTTTTCCCCGAGAACGGCAGAAGTTCCGCGGATATCGATGAGATCGATACCCGTCTCTCATTTTCTATTTTCACGTGCCTCCGAACCCAATAATAGGAGTTGTACGGATAATTTCGCCCCCTCCGGTTACTCGATATGGATCTTTTAGTAGCGAGCCTTTGATAGGGTGATCGGACGACCTCGCTCTCTCGACATTTTCCCTCGTTTCGTCCCTTTCCCCTTTACCTCTCTCGCTCTATCCCGCTGTTCGCGCTTTCCTTTCTGGTTGCACCGCACTCCGATTCGGCTCTCTCACCTCTCTTCCCATTCCCATTTTCCTTTTTCGCTCGCATCCGCTCTCTTGACTCTCGCCTCGCGGAAATTTACACGCCGCGACCGCAGATAATTAACGGATAATTAATAAGCCGGTGTGAATCGCGCCGAGTGCGAACCGGTACATCCGCGCGATGAATCGCACTGCGAAATCTTTCTTTGTTGGTTTTCTGTGAATCGTTTCTGAAGAAAAACACGTAGATTATACTGAAAAGAGAGGAAGAGAGAATTATTTAACATCTTTCTACATTTTATCTCCCTCAGCTTCGAATTTAAATTTTAAATTTAAATTACCAATACATTTAATATAATATAAATTTATTTATTTAACGTTATCTATAAAAATAAATTATTCACGTAGTACTTGTGTGATTATTTCACAAAATAATATCGAGATTATTAAAACATACAGTATTCACCATGATTATTATTTCTCACTTTACGTACGTGTTACATGCGTTACACAATTGTAGGTCTGTATGTATCGGTTTTTCTTTAATTTTGGCAAAGTTATTTTCTATTCTAAAGAAACGCTCGTGGTACCGTCAAACAAACATCCGTCACGGTCGAAGCGTCACGACGCAAAATTTCGCGAGCGTTGATGAAAAAAAAATTTTTTTCCGAGAGAAGGACAACGCAGCGCAGAGGATAGAAATGCAATCTGCCAGGCGTGCCCGCGCCCGCGCCCGAGCACGGGGTGGAAAGCAAACGGCGAACCGTGGAAACAGGAGGAAAACAAAGAGTAATCGAGAAGCGTGCCCCAGGGATGTGGGTTACGTTTAATTTGTTGCAGCGCGAAAAAACGCGGAGGAGAAAAAACATAGATAATTGGAAAGTCTTCTCGTTCGCGGGGCAGGTCGGAGAGATGCGCGCGACGACCCCAGATCTCGTTTTCGATAAGGTTTTTTTCGTTCCATCCTCCCCTCCTCCTCTCTTTTTTTGGCTTTCGTGCCGTCGAATTTTTCCTCTTCCCCTTTCTCCGCGCCGCTCGCTCGATCATTACACTCGCGTATCGGAAATCAAATTAATTTTCCGACGGTCCAGTGATTCGGAGTTTTTGCGCCCGCCTCGTCTGTGTTTTTTGACGAACACTAACAGCACATTACATAGCTTTCCTCTCCGTCAAAGTATCAGGAGTCGATGGGGCGACGGCCACCTCGTGTTCAAACTACGCTGTGCGGAGAATTAATTCACCGACGATGCACCGCAACCTTTCGCGATAAAAATATGAAGCTCCCGCGGGCAATCGAGCGGAAAGTGAGTCGAAATTCTTGAATGCAACTAGCAAAAGATTTCTACGCAACACTAATTGGAACATGTCAAATATGCTCGTGGGCGTTGTACTTACTTTACATACGAATGAAGAAAAAAACGTAATTGCAAAGATTCTTTTATAAACATCGAATATTTTCTCGTTTTTTCAAAAAACAACTTCAAGTTACTTCGTTCTCTCTTTCTCTCTCTTGTATTTTTAGTACATTTTATTTCTCATAAATATATTTCTCAAATTTCTACAAGTCATGACACAAGAAGTAAATCAAGCGCTAACAATAGTAAATAATTACAAATAATAAAAATTATATTATAGAAAAAATGATTAGTTTCAAACTTTGTGCGTTCTTAAAATCTGCAGATTTATTATCGTTTTTTGTTTTTTTTTTTTTTAATACAAAGGAACTAAATTCGTTTATAAAAATAAGATCAACAAAAGTACACTAAGTTCACATAATTAAGAATGCATTAATCACGCGCAAAGAGAAATCAACTGTAGAAGTGTACAAAGTGTATCAATCAAATCCCTGGATGCGCGACATAGTCGACGATATCTCGACAAGAGAAGGGAAAGATATCGCGTAACGATGTAGAAAGGCGATGATCCGTAGAACGGGGGCGAACAAAAGAGGTATGTATGTGAGAAAGAGAAAGAAAAAGAGAGAGAGAGAGAAACGTTTGGGGAAGAGAGCAGAGGGATGGAAGAGGGCAAAAATTGAAGCGGCGCGCGGATTTACGCGGCGCGTTACCCTAATGAAAATCGCGAAGGATGAAGTTGCGCGCGCGTGGCGGTGGTGGCGACGGCGGCAAGAGATGGGGAGGAGAAGCGGTCGGAATACACGAGGGTGGAATTAGAATATCAGAGACACGGTGGCCGTGTGTACGTAACCGTGAGCCGCGCACACCAACAGACCGTCGTTCTCGCTCGCGCGCGTCTCCGGCTTGCACGTATATAATACTTGTCGGTGGTTGACAAACCCTCGACATCAATTTCTCTCTCTGTCTCTGTAATTCCCCTCCCCCCGCCCTTCCCCACCTCTTCGCGTCTATCCATCTATCTATCTTGCTCTCTGTCTCATTCTCGCTCCGTTTTCCCTCGATGCGAAGCCTTGCTTCTCTCTTCCCCGCTACTTCTCTCTCAACTCCTCCCCGCGCCATCTAGTCCACCTCCTGCTGCTGCCACCCTTTCCCCCTACTTCTCTATCTCTCTCTTCGTTTACTTTGGAGATATCGATTACCGGCTCAACTCCCAACCCCCATCAACCCCTCTGTCACCTCCGACCCCCCCTTTATCCACTCCCTCTGGCACCCCCCTCTCAACTCCCTGCCACTCGGCCCAGCTTGCTGCTTGGTTGCTTGCACGGTGTCACATCGGTGTAGCAGTTTACAGAGACAGTATAGTTCGCGACAATTACGATCGGCCGTACAGCAGGCAGTGGTGTAGGACCGCGGAATCCAAGACTGCCGCTCGGGCGCTACGGCACCCAACATCGATCTGTCGAACCGCGGTTGATTCTCCAGAGTACTTCTTAAGCCGCGCGCTTTTTCTAACCGTGTAAATGGAGCTCGCGTAAAAACGAGCGCGATCTTCGCACCGCGCACCGACGGCGGATCTTTTGCACACGTGGGTCGCAATTCGGATTCGCAGATTTTTTTCATAATTAAGTGCAAACAAAATTTGGAAATCTTTGCGATTTGCTCCGAACGTAAGAGAAATAAAAACAAAAAACTTTGCAACGTCACCGCAATTGCATGACAAGGCCAAAATTAAATATTTTGCTATAAAATTTGATAGTCAAAATAAATACTCAGTTGACTAAAATGATTTGAAAGTTACACGAGACAGTTTTTTGTATATACATTTCACATCAACGTGCAATAAAATGTTTTTGCGCGAATATCTTCCGTATTTAATTGCGTAATTTCTCCATCCACATTCATTGGTAATCATTTTTGCTTCCACACAAGCGCAATGTGAGTGTAATCACCTCCAAATTATATCGGTTTCAATTTCCGATTTCTACAAACGCTTGTACGCGATTCTGAAAACAGACCAAGTAAACATTCGCAATACGCCTTTAGCTCCGCTGAAATTTGCCTCTGCGATTGAACATAACGTCAGGTTATTGACCCTTCCAATCCGCGCCGCTCGCTTTCGTATCTCGAAAGCAGTTTGCAGAAACGCATAACCGCCCCGGTGCCTGCAAGAGCACATTCTCTCGTGCTACGCTGAATTTGTATCGGGACAAAGGAGATCCTCTCCTTGATTTTTGCTTCCATTTTCAGTCCAGCCACCGTGTCTCTCGTGAGTTTGATTTGCCGTGGCGCACGAGGAGAGAACGTTTGTGTGTACGCACACATACAAAACACTCGGAAATATTCAACTTTTCGAGTAAACGTTTATTTCTACTACGATGTTATTTGCGCAAAAAAAGTTTCTTTTGCCAAAATCAAATTTCATGTTTTGCAAAAGTGATTGAACAAATACTCGAGTTGCATAAAAAAAAACAAACAAAAAAAACAAGAAAAAGAAGAAAAAAAGCATTTCACAATCGCGCGTTCTGCGCGCGAGTTCTAAGAAAGCGACTCTGCTCCGATTGTAATCCGATGCGTGACTTTTTCTCGCAGCATACTATTCGCGAATGAAACGAGCGAGCCAATATTTCATTCGGGGGCGTTCAATTTCCGGTATCAACGCACGCGCGTCTAGTGTATCGCCTTTGAAACGAGGCTCGAGACCGAATTTCTCAGTGTGCAAACAAGAATAACGATCCATCGCTAAATATTTATTACTTGTATTTGTATAATAGTAAAACATGGTAAAAAATATAACATCTGGAGAAAAGAGGAACGCTTTCTCACAATTTCTGAATAAATTATCCCACTTCAGACAACACACTCTCTCTCTCCTCTCTCCCTTCTCTCTCTCTCTCTCTCTCTCTATCGGTTTCGTAATTTTATTTAATTCCGTAAGAAAAAGAGAGTCTATCGTGGTAATGACAATAATAACATCCGCTCGCCTCAACGCGAAGAGGAGAAACGGATACTCGCGGGCGAATACTTCGGACCCACGTTAGTGTGCTGCACTTTAATATAGGTAAGTCCAAGTTAAGCTCCTTACCGATGACGATACGATTAGTACGGTTGGCTGGACTAATTGCCTCCGCGCTGATGGAACTAAATCGAAGAGGAGCCGGCAATATGAAGCGAGAATAATATCGATCGTTTTTCTCTTAGAGAACGCCTCGCGCGCAATTCACTCTCTCGTTTATATAATATCCTGTTCTTTCATGCTTGCGTTATCGACAAATATCGCGCGCGCCTAGCGCATGCTGTGTGTTCTTCCTCGCGTGTCAATACAGAAATTGCGAGTCGAAAGAGAGAGAAAGAGAGAGAGAAAGATTTCTCCAAGACTTTGATGCACGCCAAAGTCGATAATCGAATTTCGATTTTATTTTTTAAACGAAGGAGTTGCAGTTTGCGCAAGTCGCGAGTACTTACGTCGGATTAAATATTCGCTGCAAAAGAGAAAAGCAGCGGTATTCTCTTTCCCTCTCTCTCTTTCTACACTTTAAAAATATAAAATTTATGATATACTCTAGGATGCTTATTTATTCAACGCGATTTGCTCTTCAAGAGATGTAAAAAAAGAAAAAAAAACAAGACGATCACAAATACCATCAACAATTTCGCGAAGAAGGAAGTTGGGAGGATTATTGTTGTCCGAGTGCTTTTGGCTTGAATCCTTCTTGACTCACGAAAGAAAAGATATAAACCTCGATCGAGAAGGGAGGAAAGATACAAAAAGGAACTTACAAAGTGCCTTACCATAACGTAGTGCCTCTGCATCTCAGTCTTCTCGCTGGCCAACTTCTCACACTCGAGTTTCAGTCTGAAAAAAAAAAACCAAAAGCCAACAAATGATTGAGTGCAAAAGATGGCGTCAGATAAATCAAAGTAGAAATTTATTTTTTTTTTTGTTTAACAAGTAAAATCACACAAAAGAAGAATATTTCGAAAAAAATGCGCGAATAAAATCAACAAAGACCACATGCAAAACGATCGATAATCGCGCGCAACATCGCCGAAAGCAAATGTCGTCGTCCGTTGTCGTCGTCGTCGTCGTCGTCGTCGTCGTCGTCGTCGTCGTCGTCGTCGCGAGAAAACAAGAAAAATACGAATGAAAAAAGCGCCGTCTTAAATAATCTCGCGGAAACGCAGCGGAGCGAAAGGAAAGCGAGAGGGCAAAAGAAAACAGAAGTGCGGGTAAAGCGTGAGAGAATGACGAGAAAAGATATAAGAAGGATAAAGAAAAGCACGAGAGAGAAGAGAGCGCATGGAAAAGGAGAGATACTCACGAGTGGTACTGCTGCTGGATGAAATTGAATTCCTCTTTGATCCTCTCGCAAGTGTCCGCCACCGTGAATTTCAACCCGCCTGCAGCCCCGCCGCTACCGCCGCCACCCTGCAACAGAAACGTGGCGCGGGTGAATGAGTGAGGGTGGAGCGAAGAGGGGAGGGAGAGGAGAAAACGAAGGGATTTTCGATTAACTGTGTGTACGCGACAATGCCGAGGGATACGTGATATAGAGGATAACGCGCGCGAGCGCACACGTGGGCGTTAAACCCGTGCGCGCAAAACGCGCAACGACTATAAGCCGCGGCATCCGCGACAAGCAGGCCTGCCGTCACTTTGTGGCGTGCACACGTATACACATATTGTGTTTAATCTTTCTAGCTACAGGGCCAGTCAGTCCACGTGCGGGATCCGCCGCTATTAATACGAATAAATGGAGCAGCAACCATATCTGCGCTTAATGTGCGAGCAGACAGTGCTTGTTGCCAGAGCTATTCATCCTGAAAAATACATGTAGCAACGATCTTTGCACATAAAAACTTTAGACTTGAGTGTTTTTTTTTTTTTATTTGTTATTATGTGAACCGAAACCAGACTGCTATTTTCTATTGGAAATCATTTTCTACTTTTCACGTAACAAAAGTTTGAAAAATCCGCATACAATTAGTTGAAAAAATAATTAAAATATAAAAAGATGTAAATAAAAAATAAAGCACAATTTTGTAAATAGCATAAGATCTTTAGATTTTGTTCCACGACGCTACAAAGTTTTCCACTATGTGGTATATTTGTGGTTTGCGGGTGAATTGTCAAAAAGCACACACATGAGAAAAAGAGAGGGAAGGAGAGAAAGAGAGTTTCTCGTTTCGCCTTGAATGCCTTTTGGAAACACATTTGAGTTCCACGACGTGCTTAAGGTCGAAGATGACAAGGAACCGTCGGATGGCCTTCGGGCACATAAGGCGCACGCAAACGCGCACGGGACTGAGAGGAGAAATGCGAGCAAGGGGCAGTCAGGTATAAAAGACGGAACGTCGTCTCGAGCGGGGGCGAGAAAGGACGAGAGGCGGGACAGGGAGGGTGAAGACGCGGGCCTGAAGAGCCGAGGATGAAGGGCTGTGTGAAGGCGTCCTTAATGAGACCCATTCCACCAGATACCACGATGGTTCGAAGTCCACCACCACCACTACGACCACCACCGGCTTCTCTTCAGAGAGCGAGAGAACCTCAGGTATATATACACCACCGACGGCACTCGGCGCGCCGACTAAAATTACGGAGGAAAGGATCGGCGCTTTTCGATGACAGTAATGATTACGTTGCGGTGAAGGGGCGTCAATCGAATTTCGAAAGGATGCGCTCCTCGCGCGCCTCTTAAAAGCAGGCCCCGCGCTGAATGCTGTCATTACCGCGCGAGAACTCGCGTGTGGATTTTCGAAAGTGGAAATTGACTGCAACAATCAAAGCGGAATTATGTAGGGAAGAAAAACGCGTCTTTTTTATTTCGATACGTATATATGTATAGGTGCGACGTTAATGATCTCGATGTACCATCGGCCGCAACTGGCACGAGAAAAAAAACTATCTCGTTTTTCCCTGACTGTGATCGATCGATGACTGGCCAAGTGACGGCGCGCTCGAAAATTCCGATTTTTCGAGGGATCGCGGCCCCGCGCTGAATGATTTGGCCACTTGTTGAATGCGAAACGGGGAATGGCTGTCGGTGGTAAAATGGTTTAGGAGAGAGCGCGGGAGAGGAGCACACGGCGCGCGGTGGGCCTCACTTGTTGCAATCATCAAACGGAAAAGTCATCGAACAGGTTGTTGCGCCGCGGCGCGCGCTCGGCTCGCATCGTGTCGGATCGCGGCCAACGCGCGACAAATTCGTTTTCATCGAATCGAAACCTCTCTCTTTTCCGCGCGCACTCTCGGTAGCAGCGGCGAGCACACGGCGATCCATCGGTTGAAATTAATTAACGTACTATGTCCCCCTGCGATTTGACGCTCTCTCACTGACGTTCGTTCTCGCGCAAATATCTCTATCTCGCGATGTTTTCACCGTTGCGAAAATTTGGCTGCGACTACAAACATTTTTCAATAGAGACACGACCCGAGCTTTATTGCATTTAGCAGATAGTTTTTTGACAAAAAAAAATGAACAATAGATCGCGAACGATAGACCGACGCAAAATAACAAGAAACACGAAACGTTTCATTATTACAGCTAGTAATTAACTATGTACTTAAAATACAAATTGGTTTTTTATTGACATATTTTCTATTACTGTTCTAATATTACTGTTCTGTTCTTTCTTTTGTAGCGTTGATTTTTCAGTTGTCTATTCTCTTTATTTTGAAACGCGCGAAAAAAATTCGAAAATAGCAAAGAGAAGATCAGTTATCTTCATGCGGTAGCACGCGTCTGACGTAAATGTCGATGTATAAATACTTGGACGGAAACTTAAATCGCATGCTTCAAAATTAGAGACTCCCACCAGTCGACCGGGTCATTATTCCTCGATGGTACTTATTTGCGCTGCTGAAATTGCTACTTTTATGCCACGACGTTCTAAAAATGTAAATGTACTATCTGCGTATTTCGAACTTATGTGTCGCTATCAAAATAGCGTGAAATAATACGATCTTTCAAACGTTTTTTTTTTTTTTTTTAGATATTGCAATACGCGAATCAAAATCGAGAATACGTATATCAAGTATAAGTTAAACAAATTTTATGAAAGCAATAAGCTAAGAAATGTCCGTTTAAACTCTTTCGCCACGTCGATATATCGTCGGAATACTCGGATAACATCGTGAAACGCTCGCAGCTTCGCCAGGGTCACCACGTGTCTTCCACGTTAGGACGCGCGTGTTATTAAGGAGCGAGGACACAAAAGTCCTTCTCCTCCTCCTCCTTCGTTCTCGGGCAACGTGGCCACGACCGCAAAACTGCGCGGCGCTCGTGTGTTGTGCGTGTCTTTTGTGTTTCGTCTCTCATCCGAAAGGGGTTCCCCCTTTTTCTTTCACACCGGTGGAGTATACACGCGCGGATAGTATCGAAAAACCGGCTGGTTCACTTTGTTGCTGGGAGATAATGGCCGTGCGAATCGTAAATAAGGTAATAGGTCTTCGGAGGGCTCTTTCCCCCCTTTCCTTCCCAACTTTTGCTGGGTTCCAAAGATCGGGTGACGTAAGCGAGAACCTCTTAAGGCGTCCTGCGCGCTTCCACGAGAAACGGACATGCATTGGATATAAATCGTTCTTCTCCCGCCCCCGACGACGGTGGTAAATACATCGAAAACAAGAGCGCGTAGTTTTTAAGCGAACCTTTTTATACCACGTTACACTACGTTATTTGCTGCGATGTTTGTAATGTGTCCTCAGTTGAGAAAAATGTTTTTCTTTGCTTTTTCAACACTTTCTTTGATATTTTCACATTGTCTCGAAAAAAGAGCAATTAAACATTATTCTTTCTCACTCTCTCTCTCTCTCTCGCACACACGGAGATTTGTTTCGCCGAGATGAGCTTTGATACGGGCGCATAGTTTCGCGCAATTTCCACTCTGGAATCATTTCAAAACTATTCCCAACTTTACCGTCTTAGGCATTAGGTTGTCTAGTGAGAAATACGCCACGAGACAGACTCGAGGTCCTTCCCGCACACAGGTCACAAATCTACTTCTGCCTCTAATGGAAATAACGTCGCCGCGGGCGGAGAAGCGGCAGTGCGATGCAACTCAAAGTCAGACGACGACGCACACGCCGGACTCGCTGACGCAGCTGCAGTTGAGTAAACATCGGCGCGCCGATATGACCGACGAGCTCAACAACAACAACGACAACGACGACGACGACGACGACAAAACTCGTGCGTGGAAGCTCGGACGAGAACTTGTACGCCACGTGTGTGCATGTACACAAGCGCGCGCGACAGCGCATCCTGCGCAAATAACATTTTTCTCGGGCGGATCATCGTCGCGGATCTGTCGATTATACGCGCGTGAACGGTCATTAAAAGCGGCCGGAGGGGGTGGACGAGAAGAAAAACGAAGGAAGGACGAGCGAGAAGTAATCGTTCGTTATGGCGCAAAAAGCGGATATCGTATCCGTGAGCGATGAGGGAGAAGAGAAACGAGAGAGAAGAAGAGGGAGAAGGAGGATCATTTGGCTGAGCGAAGTGCGAGGTCGAGACGCCGCGATTAGTTCCTTCGTGCTCGATCTAATGGCAAGCAAGTTTTTCGCGATGAAAGAAAAAGCTCAGCGCGTTTACGAGATAGCGCCGTAATTATTTCATACGACCCTGCCGGCGCTGTCATAACGTAATTAAGTCTCGATTGGTCGGCTCGAAAGAGAGAGAGAAGAAGTACGTCGGCGATCGTTCTTGTACACGGTCGTGCGAGAACGATCGCAAGTACCAAACGTGTAATTAGAAGACCGGAAAAAGAACAGAGCGCTCGCGCAGAGACTGTGCAAGGGACAGCGCGGAGAAAGAGATTCAGTTTGAACTTTCCGACCGATCGTCGACCTGAAAAAGCATCACCGCGACAAACAAAATGCGCGAAAGCGAACTTATATTAATTCTCGCTGGAGAAGTAGATCGATCATCAGAGTAATCACTCTGCAAAGCGCAAAGATCACAGTTAATCGCGCTCGTCCCAAAGTGAAGCGACTAGAAGAGCGGTTCGATATTATTGCCGGTGTCGGCGACCGTTCATTTCATTACTCGCCGTTATTAATTAATAGAATCACGATCCTCTTGAACGAGCGCTCTTGTGCGCACACTAAACGGATTGCGCAAAATTCACAGTGGTGGTAAAGACGCTTACGATATCGTCCGAGAGTAGCGACAGATACATTTCCTCGAATACCCAACATCTTTTATATTATTATTATATTAACTCTCTGACAGCGGAGGTTGGTGCAAAATTTTTTACCCGTGATTTAATTAAAAAATCTATATGGAAAATGATTTCCGACTAATACCACTAAGTTCTTATGAGATATATCCGACAGCGGACTTATAGTCATAAAAACTGACTATAAGTCCGCTGTCGGAAGGTTAATACTTTAGTCACGCGCCAGCTAATACTTTATTTAGGAGAATAAACAACACACGTAATAATATTGTACATAATGAATAGAAAAATCAGTTAACGAGCTTCTCACCCCGCATTGTCTCTCTTATATTAAATATAACTTATGAGTTGCGAATAATTAATTAATTTTTAATTATTGTAAATGAGTTACGCAATTGTCGGAAGCTGAAGTAATTATTAGGACAGTGTGTGAAATTTCGCGCAACGCTCAAGCAAGCGAAGAACTGAAATTAAGTTTTCAAGACTCTGCTTGAATTATTTATGTGCAAATGTGCGCGCGTATTTCGCCACGCGCACAAAATGAAAGAACTAGTTTTCCACACACGAACATTAATATGATTAGCGTAAAATCCCCTCGGGATGACAACGCTGTGGAGATTTCGGAGCGCGTTAAGGGTGCGCGCGTGCTCGATCAACGTCGACGGCGTTGCGCGTCAAACAAATGCCCTTCGCCGCCAGAAAGAAACGGACGCACATCGGCAGAGCGAAATCTAAACAGAAGACATCGGGTAGGGTGCGAGAACACGTGGTGAAGTTGTAGGCGCGCGTGGAAGCATGCGTTTCGAACAAGCGCCAATTCACCGTTACGATAATAAGTAGCCGAATGGAGAAGGGAGAATTGAAACCCTAACAATATCTTTCCCCCGATAGCTCTTTACAATCGAACGCTCGCGATAATTAGGTCTCGATTATCAGACTCGAAGAGAAAGCATAGTTCGCTCTTATGCGCAAAATTATCTAAAATCTAATTAAGAACATAAAAAGTCGAGTGTTTAACAAAACGGTTTTTTTCACTAAAGATGCAAAAAAACGAGAAACAAAAATATTTTGTTAAATACATTGAATCAAAAAATATATACAATAACAGCATTTGGCTCTTTTACAGCGTGAATTTGATCTGATTTCTTTTAGAGCTTAACGTAATTTGATTTTAACACAAATGTCATCAAGAACTAAACGAAAACTGATTGACTACTCAAAATAAAATTTCTTTTGTGAAAAACAATTGATTTCGAAGTTCAATCGGGGATTTATATTTTTGATTTTCCTTCTTGATATGTATTCAAGGAGACATTCGACGATTCTAGGACACTTTGTGTAGCAGCATAGATAGCCTCGCTTCTCGTTCCTTCGCGTAACCTCACGTTCGTGTCGCAACGACACACACACAAACGCGCGGCGTACGTACACACGAGCGCGCGTATACGTGCACGACGACGAGCCGAGCATTACAGGTTCCCGCTGGTCTCTCTATATATCGGCACGATTATTATAGGTTAGACGTTCCGTGCCGTACACGAGGGGGGAAGGTGCGCGGGCAGTACAATGAGGCCCCCGACGACGGAGGCCGAGAACCGAAACAATCTCCGTTCGCGCGCTTCAGACGCCGCGCGAGGATTCTCTGATGTCGGTGTAAGTTTTCTGTATATGTGTGTGCGTGCGCGCGCGCCTATGTACGTGTGCACAGGTGCGCATTTCGCGCGCATTTCAAACACACGTGCCATTGTACGGCACAATGGACGCCACCCCTTGGGCGTTTTGCTTCTTCCCCCTTAACTTGCGCGCCACTAAAACAAGACTCGTCCTCGACGAAAGAGTACTTGTCAGCGCTCAAGTAAAGAGAGAGAGAGAGAGAGAGAGAAAGAGACAGAGGAGGGTGAAAGAGAGAAAGACAGGGGTGTATAACGGGAACAGAAATTGGTGCCAAAAGTCGCGGCTTTCCTGGGGAATCCTCAGCGAATTCCGAGCTCCCGTCTTGTCTCCTCGATAGCAATCGTTGTCGTCGGTTAAATAATTCATGAGCCTCCGGAGACGAATTCCACCGAAATATTTGGTAACACAATACGGGATATTTATAGAAATGTAATTTACCCGCGAGATATCAACTCGCGAGTGTTTTCCATAGAATGGGAATAGTTTCTTGCTTGCTCATCATCACGAGACCATCGCGGCGATCGATCTCGCGCGACGAACTATCTTTTTTTTTTTTTTTTTTTTTTTTCGGAGAGAGATAGAGAACAGCCTCGGGCAGTAAGACTGACGCCTCGTTCTCACAGAGATTCGGAACAGGCGACAGAGTTTCGTCAGAAAGGGAAGACGAGAGACTCCCAAGACTGTACACAGATTGACGATCTTCGAAGTGGCCATCTGACGGGGCAGTTAAGAACTCGCTTGTACCAGCAGGAACCACGAGAGTGGCTTCGATCGTCTTTCTCCACGTGGATACCGCCTTCGGTAAATGTCTTCGTCACGCGAGGGGTGAACCGTTTATAGTCTTACAAGGAAGTCGGCCTTTTTCTCGTTTTCATTCGCCGCGCCTACCCTTCGTCCCGTCAAGAAGAGAGGGTAGCTCGTCTTCGACTCGCCAGCTCTTTCGACGGCGTCGCAAGCTTTTCCTCTGTCTTATACGCCGAACCGTCGTGAGAACGATAATCGTTTTATCCACGTGAAAGCAGCGGAACGTCGTATCACCTGTTCGTTTTCTCAAACCTTCGCTCGGAAATGATCGCTCCGTCCGACGATATTGCGAGCAAAAAAAAAAACCAACCGACTTCGCCGGAGTCGAGTAGATATTCTAGTTCCTCCGTTTTGATATATGCTAACTTTCCGATGTGAGGAAGTCACAATCGCGAGAAATGGAAGAAAAACAAAAATATCGAGAAAAACATGCAAATGGATTCTTTTCGTTATGTTAGTACGCGTGATAAGACAGAACGAACATGTATATATTTTGGATGAAAATGATCGAAGAGTTTTTATTAGCGCAAATAACGATAGCGCGTAACAAGCAAAGTGAAACTCTTGTAAAACGTAAAGTGTATGGCTTCAAGATAAGTTCGCATGTAAACTCACGAGACTTGGCAAAGTACGCACATACATCTATACAAATCGATAAAGAATGCAATCTAATAAAGTCATAGCGTTGCTGCTATTTCCGTCACGAAGAAGAAGCGCGGAATCGCGATCAAGGCGAAAGCGCGGAAGAGAATCTCAAAGGATTTCGCTTATCGATCACGCCGAGCGTTTTTCCGGACACGTTCGTTACGAGGAAAAACGAGAGCGATCTTCTCTTCCTTTTCGCAATGTGTTCGATCAACGTCGTCTGAAGTTGATTGAACACGCAAATACGAGATATTAATTTGTATTTTACTCTCCGAGCCCATTTTTGTAATGGTACTTTGATTAATTGGTAAGTCGGCAACTTTGAATTTTTTTCTCTTTTTTTTTTGTTTTTTTAATTACATTTTTCTGCGCGATGTTCGCCACGCGCGCCGATATTGCGTGAGGAAGCGCGAGATAGCCGAATGATTGATATAACTTCGGAGCGAAGTTACCGATATCGCGTCTTCCGATCGGTCTTGTGTCTCGTTTCAGAGGTGGTGTGCGTAAGCAGAGACCACGTGAGAATAATGCTCGTCCCCGCGATATTACAATGTATAAAGTCAAAGTTTGCGATTCGAGCGGTTAATTACCGATTGACCGTTCCGCCCTACAGCGACTACCTGATCGAA